ACATTCATTTTGCCATTTTCTGTTTTATGTCATTGGTGATATACTACTGAGATTTAATTGATTTTTGGTATATTTTTATATTTCAGTTTGGTGTTGCTGTTCCAATAGTTTGCTTTTCCTCTCTAAGTAGTACTTGGGCACTCAGGAGAAGGATTCTCTATAAGAAAATTCTCAAATACAGCTAAAATACATTGAGAGATAGCCCAACGAAGGGGTGTAAAAACCATATCATAAAAAGACAAAAGAAACATGAAAAACACAGCAACTTAACTCCCTTAGAGTCCCTTAGCAACTATAATTCCTCGATTATTGAATCCAAAGATACTGAAGTTGGTACAATGTCAGCTAAAGGTTTTAAAAGGTTACTAGTAAAAATATCAGGGAACTTAAAGAGGATACAAACAAGCAGATGCATTGGATCTTTACCTAGAGAAGAAAGTAAGGGACACAGAGGGGGGGGAACTCAACAAAATGGATGAGAAGCAAATATAGATTTAAAGGTAGTGCTGAAGAATAATTTTCACCAGTCAACTTAACCAAGCTGGAGAAAGAGATCAGAGATGGAGGACAAGGTAAAGGATTACTGCATCTAAATATCAATAAAACAAAAATAAATAAGCATAACCACAACATTCAAGGGCTCTGGACTATAGTCAAGAGACCAATCTGAGGAATCTATGGATAGAAGGAACTGGTAGAAAAATTAAAAATCTAGAAAATCTACTCACTGAGATTTTCTCAATTCTAGAGAAAGAAATGGACTCTCAGACACAAGTAAATTAGAACCATGAGTAAACTTAACCAGAAAACAACTTTTTCATGGCATTTTATACTCATTCATGTTGAAAACAAGACAAAAACTATTAAAAAGTGGTAAGAGATAAACTCTAAATCATCTGCAAAAGCAAGCACATCAGAATTGCGTCACTATCAGATGAGCAGCCCTAAAATCCAGAAGAATTATACTTTTCAGGACCTGAAAGGGAAAACTCTCAACCAAAATTTTTACATTTCGGAAAATTGTCTTAAAATTGATGGAGATGTAAGGAAGTACTAAGACAAACACAGAATACTATGGTTCTTCTGTTTGTTTGCTTGTTTGTTTTGGCTTTCAAGAAAGGGTTTCTCTGTAGCTTTGGAGCCTGTCCTGGAACTAGCTCTTGTAGACCAGGCTGGTAATACTATGGTTCTTGATCACCAATCTGCAAATGATACTTTATGAAAATACTATACATAGAGGACAAAGATAGACTTAAGCACAAAACCAAACATGAGAGGAATTACTTAATGAAGGGTAAGAAGGAATCTATCATGTCCAACATAGTAACCAGCACACTCCTAATACAGATAGGATTGAAAGATATCAGGGGAGAGGCAGAAAAACCTCTGCCATGGAATTAACTAGACAACCCAATAAGAAAGTCATAGGACTTAATAAACATCTCTATAATAATTTTAAATATAAATGATCTCAACTCACTAATAAAGAGATGCTGCAGACTAGCTGGCTAGTTTTTTAAAAAGAAAAAAAAAACTAGATTTGGTTTTAAAAAAAAAACTATATTTGATTATCCACTGTCTCTAAGAAACACACCTCACTGGTAAACACCCAGGAAATCTGAGTCAAAGTATAGAAATCAGTTTATCAAATGAGTGGAAGTTGAAAATAGCCTGGTATAACAGCACTGACATATGGTAGAATAAATTTTCTTTTAAAAAAGATATTTTTAAAGTCTGCTATATATCAATAAAGGATACAATTCATCAAGGTCTAAGTACCATCTATATACACACAGGGAAGTGTAGGTCTCACCTTTCATCAAGGAAGTTTTATTTTGCAACAGATGAAGACCATCACAGAAATTCTCAGCTGGTCAAAATGCAGCTGGTCAAAATGACTATGGAGTGCCCATACGCAACTGATATACACAAGGAATAAGCCTTTTCCTGAGGCTTAGAGAACATAATGGAACAAGGGGTGGAAAGAAGGTAAGAGCCAGAAGACCAGAGCATCTGCTATGTATGACAAGGTGTTGTACGCATGAAAACTTGACAACATACTCAAAGAAGAACAGCACAATGATAACTCCAGTTGACACATGAACATGGTCAGAAAAATCGTTCAAGGTCCTACCACTAGATAATTGCTACAGCAATTAATGACTACTAAGTGAAGAATAATCGGGCTTATCCATAGATGAGGAGCTGATTGATTTTCTAATCCCAAGTGATGAGTCCTAACAAATCACACACACACACACACACACACACACACACACACACACGCCAGTAATAACTAAAGAAGAGTAATGAGTTTGAGAGGGAGTAAGAGGAGACATGGGACAAGTTGGAGAGAGTGTTGGGCAGAAATTAAGTAAACATAGTACTCATGTATGAAATTCTGAAAGAACATTTAAAAATGAGATAATATAAGATAAAATAATTGGAATAGATATGCACCAAACACTGGGGTTCCAAATGTCATTAAAACAAATTCGAATGGATGTAAGAGGCCTGCCAGGTCCCAGTACAACAACAATGGATGATTTCTGTTCTGGCGGAAGCTTCATTCCAGTCCCTGACATCCATAGACCCAAAGAGTCTGGAATGTTCTAGTGGAAGTTTCACCCCTATTCCCATCCACCATCTCTCTCCAGATCCTGCCACACCTCAGAAAGTCCACCAAATGATGATCTGATCTCTTCCCCCAGAAATGCTCAAGACCACTCCCACAGGGTATTTAAACTGCCCTTAGAGAGTAGGCAAGTTTTTCTGGTCTTCCTTTCCCATCTCCTTTTTGGGGGGCTCGAAAATCATCCAGGAGCATTTTATCCATCAAACCTGGGCTTTTTCTAATTGGGTTTGATTTGGTCTGATTTGGATTGCTGTGTTGCCAGAGAAGCTTACCGGGGTCCAGAAACTTTTCATCTCTAGGTCCCGTCAAGGGGCTGGTTTTCCCCTACTGACCTGGCACCACGTGGTGGGAAACCACCCTTCTCCCCTACACCTGCTTTCCACCAGGCTAAGATGAGCTTTCAGCTGGGTTAGTTGTCCTTTCCAACCCATTGCCTCAAAGGCCCAAGGCCTCCTGCCCTTTTTGGGGTGTCCTGCCAGGCCCCTGACCTGTTAGTGGGACAAAGACATGTCTTGTCCTGTGAGAACCCTTCTTCAGAAGATGTTCTGTTTAACAGAATATTCCACACCACCCTTTTTTGACCCAAAGCCTACTACAGTGGATGCATTGTGTCCCAACATGAACTTGTGAAATGAGCACCTGCAATTTGAACCCAGACCCCCCAAATGCCCTTGGTCTGCCTTTTACAAATTTTTTGTAAATTAGGGCTGACACCGTATGTCCCGAAAGGCTGATTTCTCTGTACACTAAGGCTTGGCCTCAGTATGTTCTTGACAATGGGACACAGTGGCCACCAGGGGCAACTTTTGAATTTTCCATCCTCTGTGACCTTGAAATTTTTGCCTGCATGGGGCCAAGTGTACAGAATTCCCATATGTCCATGATTTCTGGGTACTGGGCTCCCCCACACTCCTTTCCTTAGTAGTCAGTGTCTCACGGCACTGGTCTTGTTGCCTAGGGTCATGATGCCTCCAGGTTCCCACCTATCTGGGAAATGGGACCCTGAAAATTCCACCCTGACCATGCTGCAGGAGACACTGGCCCCTCCCTCACTCTCCCCCCCCCCTTCCCCACTATCCTCCCTACCCAACCGCCTCCTTCAGGGCCACTTGTTCCAGTCAGTGGTCAACATTCCTCTCATTCCTTCCCCATCCACCCTTTCACCCTCTCAGGGACAAAAGTCAAGGGCCAACATCCTCTTCCTTACCGACCTTTTTCTCCTCCCCTTCCTACAGCCCCTCCCTACCCTCCCATGCCACGACCCACCTCCTGGCCCCCTTCTACACATTGACCTAGTTCCCTTGAAACCTCCCAGGTCTTTTCTCATACCCCATCTTGCCAACCCCTTGCCCTCCTCTGTCCTCTCCTAGAGGTAGCTGGAGCTGATGGAATTGATGGAAGATCATACTCCCTTCCCTTTCAGGACCGCTCACAAGTAGAAATGTGGTTGGGTTCCTTCTCTGCTAAGCCTAATGTTTCTATCAGGAAGTTTCATTATCTGTCCCAGGCCTGTGATCTGACCTGGCATGACCTCTTTGCCATCTGGGTCTCCACTCTCACACCCTAGGAGCAAAATCGAGTTCTGGTAACAGCAAAACAGTATGCAGACCAGACTATAGCTCAGTTTACTCAACTTGATCTAGCCTACCCAGTGGGAGCCACGGTCCTGGCCACTCATTTCTCAGTCAGCACTAAATATTAGAAAGACATTTTAAAAACTGAGGAAGGTCCCCAAAGTCCCATACAGCAGTTGGGGAAAATGGCTTTTAAAGTTTTCAATGCCCAAGAAGAGGCAATCCTCCCAAAAGGCCCAGCAGCAACAGAAAGCTACCCTCTACACCCAAGCCATAGCACCACCCAGAGGCCCCCATAACAAAGACAAGGGAAGCTGACCACAAATCTCCATTGCACCAGAGCTCAGATCAAGTCAACTCCACCAAGAACCTGTGTCAAATGCAGCCTGAAGCCACTGACCTAGCAAGGGTATGCCGTATCTGCAGACTGCCTAGACACTGAAAATCAGAATGTCCCCATGAGGGCTCATCCTTTATGCCACACCACCAAGGTCCAGCCTCACCAACATTGGCACCTGAAACCCTTCCAGCCTTTGAACTACTCAGCCTCGTGGAGGATGCAGCCTAGACTTGGGGACTCCCCTTGCACTCTCTGAGCCTTGGGTAACAATGCAGGCAGCTGGTAAGTCCATTACTTTTCTATTGGACTTGGGAGCTACCAAGTCTGTTTTGACATTACACTCAGGGCCTACAGTACCCTCTCCAGTTTCTGTCACGGGGGGTGAATGGTGATATTGCCATGTGTGAGAACAGACACAAGATATACAATGAAACCCACCTTAAGAGTTTTATTAATAAAGAGAAGGGAGAGGAGGAGAAAAAAGGGAAGGTGCACAGGTCTGTCTGAAAGCAACACGGTGAGAGAGAGTGAAGTGGGCATATCCACTTTTTAAATGTCGTTTAGCGCATGCGCATAGGGACTTACATAATCACATCATGCATAGATTAAGTGATTACGCTGCACATAGGTTACATAGGGTGTGAGGCCCTAGGCTGATGAGGCAGTTTGCGTGAATGCTGATGGCACATACGAGACCATGGGAACCAGAAATGCTAATGCCTAGGGTGACTAAGCATTCTGCCTGAATGTTGGTGACCATGGGACCCCGGATGTGATAGAAATAACAACTCACCCTTTTGTTTATTAACAAATGGGGAGGAATTAAGGGTTGAAGATGAGCAGGAATGGGGGCATTGGGGCTCTCAAAACTGTTCAAGCTGACTTGGTGGGCATGAGTCATCTCTGGGAGGCTTCTCCTGAGATGGTTGGGTCTTCCCCCTTGTTTGAGCTCTGTAGAATCATCTGACTGACAGCTTGGACCTGAGAAGATGTTGGCGAGACAGAAGATGAAGTGTAAAAACTTTTCCTTAGATCCTGGTAATTGAGGTAGGAGGGTCCCAAGATGAAGGGGGAGGGGCAGTCCCCAAGGGTCCCAAGGTGAGGGAAGGGGGTTCTGAGATCAAGGAAAAGTTGAATGATACTTACCTTGAGTGAATCTGACCTGCTCAGGTGGGTCCAATTCGACTCCCTGGAGCGTATAAGAATTTTTAAGTTTATAAACGAGGTAAGTTTTTAGACACCTTAAGAAGCGACCAAAGGGAATTTAAAGTCCTGAGCTTGTGGCTATGATGATATAGAGGTGGAATGTAGAGTTTAGTACTCTGCTAGAGTTGGGTTAATAGCTTATCAGAATTTTATTGGGTAGTGTTAAAGTTATGGACAGTCAAGATGTGGCAGGGGGGAATTGCCAATTACACTTTCTAATCTCCACCTGAAACAAACCATAAGGCACCTGTTTCTTTCCCATCACCATGGTCCAGGAGACACAGGTGACTGGTTGCTGAAGGCAGTCAATAATAAACTTGTTATAATCTGTTTTGTGAGTCTCTCTTTTTGGGTCTAGGGGTATGAATGTCTCTGGAGTGTTACTGTAACTTACTACCTGGGCATCTCTGATAGTATTTGCACCTCCAGCTCTGTGGCTAATGGCAATCCCTGGAGCAACACCTGAGTAGTTAATTAGAAATTTGAATATGTCATTAGAGACACAGGGAAATTGATAATGAAGCAGGGTGTGTTGGGTAGAGGCAGGAGGGGGATCAGGAAGAAGAACATATAGGGTTTCTGATGCAGTAGAGTTCAGTGCAGTTGTGGGTGATGTTAGTGTAAAACGCTGCAAGTCCCAGAGTGATGGCAGTGAGCAGAGGGCCATTAGAGTATGCCACAGGTCCCCAAGGAGTGGCAGGCAGAAGACAGCAGGTCCTGAGACCATGGCAGGCCATGAAGGCAGCTGGGTCACAGGCAGGAAGCCATGTGGTGGGTAAGAGACTGAGATGAATAGGTACACCATGAAGAGTGAAGTTGGATATTTATTTAGTGGGTTATAGAAGGGAAAGGGAGAAGGGGAAAGAGGAGAGAGAGGTAGAGAGAGAAACAGAGAGGCAGAAAGGGGAGACGTGGAGAGAGGGAAGAGACAAGCTGCCTTTGAGAGAGAGAGAGGGGGGGGAAGGAAGGAAGGAAGGGGCTCAGGCTGGAAGCTGGGCAGATGGGGAGGGAGAGGGTGTGGCTTGTCTCTTAAAGGGACAAGACAGACCATTACACTCCCATTTATTTTTTATAATAAAAAAGGCAGGAGGTTAGGCATCATAGGTTAAAGGAATTGGAGTGGCAGATTTTCAAGACTGCTTCCTGCTTATTTGTGAGCATCATCTTGGGGGGGGAATATGAGAAGACTGGGTGCTGATCACATCCTGGGGTAGCTGGTCTCTTTGTTCCTGTCCTGTGTTTGTGGTATGGAAATATCTGGTGTCTCTTATACATGTTTAAAGTACTGGCAGAACAGGCAACAAAGTTAAGTTTAGGGGAAAAAATTAGGACAAGGGAATTGACAGGGGTGTATCTGAACTGTTTAAGGTAGATTCTTCAATTCAGCTCCCTGGAACTCACAAGAATTCTTTGGATTTCTGAAAACAGAAGTTTCAGACAGCAGCAGAATGTTTGTAACAGATGTTTTTGTACAATGAAACGTATTTTTAAGACTGTGAAAGACTGTATGAGAGAGAAATTTCATAGTATGTATTTGTCCTCACTTCTTTATAACTTGTAAGTATACACCTTAATAACTTGTATTTGTATTTTGTTGAAATTTGTTTAGTGAGGTTGCCCTTTTAAATGACAAAACCTATCAGCTGTCAAACTGCATCAGAGATCTTTGAGAAGGATAAAATTTTACTTGAGTTATTGATTAAAAAGCAACAGAGAAGTTACTTGATTGGCACCTAGAGCTACTCCTCAGGGTCCTCCATGATTGCTGAAGGTTGTATTTGCCTTTTGGTATTTAGTGCAGGGCCTGCCAGGCTCCAGAAAAATCCTGTGGGCTAAGAAATCTGTAGGAAGACAAGTCTACCTTGACCTGAGCAGCTATGCTGTCGATTCCAGTGATTCTACCCATGTCTGGAGATCTTCAGTTTAGATGAAAGGCAGTTTTTCCCAGTGGTCAGTGCTTGGCAGTTGAAGCGAATTACAGATGGATGTTGTTCTGTGCCCATTTGTCTTCTGTCTTCTTTGGAGGAAGTAGAGTGCTGCTGCTTGGAGCCAACCTGTCTCTTTTTGTTATGAAAAGTCTTTTAATAATTAAATATTTAAATGCCATATTCCCTAGATCTCTGAGCAGTTGAAAACTGTTTATCAGATATAACTACAGTATAGAATCTTCCTGGAGAGCTGAGTCCAAGCTTGACTGTACTGGCTCTCAACTTAACAGGTAAAATTTACACTTGTAAAAAAACAGAAAGTAGAAAAAACTGCTTGCAATAGAAGATTAACGGCAGAACCTAACAATAGCAGAGAACAGCTTAATATATTTTAAATCAAGGTTGGAATATATATATATATATATATAGTATTTTTTGTAAGAGACTTAAAAGAACATACCCATTAAAAACATGACTGTTTTGTAGTCTGAAATGAGATACAATGAACAATTATCACATTTAACAGTAAACATTGGAGCACCCGACAGAAATCTCATGGTCCAAATCAGGAGCAGGAGAGAGAGCACGAGCAAGGAACTCAGGACCGCGAGGGGTGCACCCACACACTGAGAGAATGGGGATGTTCTATCAGGAACTCACCAAGGCCAGCTGGCCTGGGTCTGAAAAAGCCTGGGATAAAACCGGTCTCGTTGAACATAGCGGACAATGAGGACTACTGAGATCTCAAGATCAATGGCAATGGGTTTTTGATCCTACTGCACCTATTGGTTTTGTGGGACCCTAGGCAGTTTGGATGCTCACCTTACTAGACCTGGATGGAGGTGGGTGGTCCTTGGACTTCCCACAGGGCAGGGAACCCTGATTGCTCTTTGGGCTGACTAGGGAGGGGGACTTGATTGGGGGAGGGGGAAGGAAATGGAGGCGGTGGCGGGAAAGAGACAGAAATCTTAAATAAATAAATAAATAAATAAATAAATAAATAAATAAATAAGGAGATAAAAACAAAAGAAAAACCATAGGTGTATTTAAGTTACATGCACGCGCGCGCACACACACACACACACACAGAGTAAACAGGAATTGGGCAAAGTGGATGCTCTTGGTGGGCCCTACCAGAGGCATGCCACTGCATAAAACACACATGTAACAGAGTCAGCAAGAGGAATTTAGAGACAAAAACATAAGTAAACTGGGACCAGGCAGGGAATACCTCAGTAAAGATGGTGGAACTTGGTCACCTGACCTCAATCAAAATGGCAGTGGTCACATGTTGCATGGAAGAGAGATCTAGAGGCATGATCCACCCTGTTGCTGAGCCTCCATGCCATAAGCTGTGGCAGGGAGCAAAAGGCTGGAATTGAAAACAGTTGCATCATGGACTGGCCAATCTTACTGACAGCAATAGCAGTGGAGGGTACAGATTGAGGAAAAGTGGAGCCAGTGGAGCTGGCAGGACAGCAGCAGAGTGAAGGTTTATACCATACCTGAAAATATGAAAACAGCAACACCAAAAGCTTATAGGGGGACGTCTCTCAGCATCCTTTATCTATAGGCCAGGTGTTAAAGCCTGACTGGCTCCAGTCTGGGTGATTTGGAAGCTAGAGAGGCTAGAGGCCACTCCAAGTGGTCTCTCATGGTGGAAAACACTGATGATTAATTTGTCAAGAACAAGAAAAGAGAAAAGAAGAAAAAAATCCAAGGGACCCTGGACCCCCAGTCAAGTGCACCACACAGCATGTGCAGTATTAGTGTGGGAGGACTGACCCCAGGTCATCTGGTCATGTTTTTAGCTATGGAAATCAATGAAGGGCTTAACAATAGTAATGAAGGCTGTGGTTGGGGGCTGGAAAGGGAAAACTCACCACTGAAGTTGCAGGTGTGCATAGAGGTCAGTGCTCAGGCAGATGGAACACGTGTTTGTTGTGGAAAAATACCTGGTTCTGGATCTCAACCCTGGGAGAGGAATGGGAGGACCTACTGGTTCCAACGGCACCAATGTAATGGTTTAAGTAAAATGCTGTGAATTCCCTGAGGGGTGTAGAGGCAGAAATGGTGCAGGTACCTGAGCAGTGGTAGGCAGTGGGTCCCAAGACCATGGCAGGCCATGCAGGCAGCTGTGTCCCAGGCAGGAAGCTATGTGGCAGATGAGAGACCAAGACGGATAGGTACACCATGCAGAGTGGTGTTGGATATTTATTTAGTGGGTTATGAAAAGAAAGGGGAGAAAGAGGAATAAGAGAGAGAGAGAGAGAGAGAGAGAGAGAGAGAGAGAGAGAGAGAGAGAGAGAGAGAGAAACAGGGGGAGGAAAGAGGATAAGTGGGGAGAGAAGGAGAAAAGAGATAAAGATGGTACCTCTTCAAGAGAGAGATGGAAAGAAGGGACTCAGGCTAGAAATTGAAGATCAGCTTGCCTCAGTGGACAGGGGAGGGAGTGGGCATGGATTGTCTCTTAAAGTGACAGGACAGACCATTACAATGGGTAACATGCTGAGTCTAAAATCTATTCTCCAAAGATCACTTATTCCACTATGTGACCTTGAAAACAGAGTGAAATGAAGATTGACAGATGACTGCTAGTGGTGAGGGAGAAGACAGGTATGATTATAAAGGAGAGGTGTGGAGGAGATCATTATGGCAATGGAGCAGTGTGGTAGCCTGATTGTGTTATGGTTTTATTGACCTATGCAGTTATACAAAATGTATATACACACACACACCAACACAAATTTCCTTCTTTTAAATCTGTTCCGTTTAAGTAAGAAGTAACCACCGAATGACACTAGTGGATGGGTTGGAAGGACCTTTCTGAGCTAATTTTGCAACTTCCTGAGAATCCTTGCTCTTTTCAAAGTACAAAGTAAAGAAGTGCATGCAAATTTTAAAGGTCTCTGGATTTAACTGAACCTGAATCCAGTGTTGAAAGTGTGAGGGTAAAATCTTCCCTCCCCCTCTCTAGAAGCAGGAGTGGAGAGTTTCACTTGAACCCCTGTAGCCTAATCATTACAGTTCCTCTACCCTCTGTGAGGCTTTCTTGGAGATTTGATAAGCTTCCTACATCTTAATTAGTTACTTTTCTGCTTACAACAGACAATGTGGGTTCTTGTTTGCTGATTTGAATGCTGATTAATTTTTATTCTGATAGTTTCAATTAGCTGTCATTATCTGCTAAGAGATTTAGGACAGTGATAAGTAAAGTTAATTTATCTTCATACACTGAAGCCACTGATGAAGTTGATACAAGCCAGGAATTAATTAATGGATAGTTAATATGCCTCAGGAACATCATTTCTGTGAGTCTGATGACAGCAGCTTTGTTAACCCTAGCAGCAAAATGGAAAGGAGCCCACATTGCTTTGTGGATATTGGTGGCTCTCATTCTGTTGTCAGCCTCTTGTGTTATTGTGAAATCCTCAGGAAACTGGAATGTTTGTTTATGTGTACATTTGTACCGATGTTGAAATAGGAGCGGCGGGGCTGCGTCCCCAACACCCCAGCCGCTTGGCTAGCTCATGCCCGAAATAACAACACAAAAACTGTATTCATTTAAGAACTGCTTGGCCCATGAACTCTAGCCCTTACCGGCCAATTCTCGCACCTGGACTAGCCCATTTCTAATGATGTGTGTAAGCACCCCAAGGTGCGCTTACCGGGAAGATTCTAGCCTACATCCATCCGGAGTTGGAGGAGCTTCATTGCTTGCATCTGCCCGGGAGAGCTGAGCATGGCATCTCTGCTCCAGAGCAGAGCTGTTGAGTCTCCGGGAGCAGAGCAGAGTCTGACCTCACTTCCTCTTCCGCCCAGCATCCTATCCTGTTTATTCCACCCACCTATCTTATAACCTATCAGGGCCAGCAGTTTCTTTATTGCTCAGCCAATGAAATCAACAGATTGATATATGACACTCCCACATCATACCGAGGTTGTTAATTTTTCTTCCTTTTTTCCCCACTAATGTAGTGATATACAACATTGTCCTAACCTCATTTTGAAGAAGTCAAAGCAGAAACAAAGCATCTAGTCAAGCCCCACCCACAGTCAACAGCAGAGTGAGAATGAACACATACTTGCTTACTTCCTGTCAGGGTCCAGCCTCGATGGGTTTGTACATTCCAGGGTAGGGGCAAGCAGATTAGAAATGTCAAGTAGGAGGAATAGATATGAAAAAAAAAACCACAAAGACATAGGATAAAATCAGTGTATGCTGAATACTGAATATACCCACATTTATTTTCCATATGCTTATATACCCCAATCAAAAAGTGGGATAAGAAGGCAAAAGACTACTTTAACGTGACACACAGGACTAACAGAACAATCACTTGATTTAATGCTTGAGACATCAAGCCACTATTTCCTGAGTTAAGCATTCTGATGCTTTAGGCCGGGATATGCAGTGAATATACCTTAGACCAAGTATCCTGTAGGCAGCCACTCCTTGGGTCAAACCTCCTGTTTTAAAATGAAGGAGCAGGAATAGACTTGAATTCTCTAACCTTTGGTCAAGGTAGAGCAGATCTACCTCTATGGGCCATCTTAACACTCAAAACACTAAGTAACCACAGCCAAGGTCAGGATATCTTGTCTGTAGCTACACCTTAAGTCAGACCTATTGTCTGTTGTCTATAACTTTTAAAGAGCAAGAGTAGCCTCAAACTCTCTGACCTTTTAGTTAAGGTGTAGGGGACCCACATCTGTGGGCCTCCACACTTCACCTCAGTTGGTTTTCTCCTCTCATATTCAAGATACCCTGTCTAGTGAATGGTGCCACCCACTATAGGATGAGTCTCTTCCTTTGTTAATTAACAATCATGATGGTTCCTCCACAGACTTGCACACAGATAATTCTTCACTAGAAATCTCTTTCCAAGTGTTTCTAGAGGGAATCAAGTTGAAAATTAAAACTGTCCAGCATAGAATCTGTGTTGGTGTTGGGACTTTATACTCCATGCTCTTAGATTACAATTAAATTATGAAAAAATTGATAAACTTTATAAAAAATAGAAATACAGACACATATAACTTGAATAGAACTTAACAATGACCCATATAGAGGTGGTTGGCTTTATTTTCCCTTCCTCTCGGCTCTAGTTTATTATTTGTTAGTAAAACACGTCTAGATATGCACTTCCTAAAGTCATACATAATTGCTTTGAAGGAGACGCCACAAAATGGAGTTGGGAGAAGGGATGTCAGGGGTGGACACTGCTTTGCTTTTGTTTCTTTTCTCTTTTCAAAGTCTCTGCCATGGGATGTTTAAATTTTTTTTTTAAAGATGAAAGAAAAACTGAGGCAGCTCCATGACCACTAAAGGTCACCATTTTTTTTTCTAGGTGTCTCTTTAGTATTTTCCACTTACGAGCTGCTTGAAACCCTGTTTCCTATTTATGACTCTGGTTTTCTACAATTATGGGATTATAAATAAATATAACCAAAACATAAATGTGTAGATTCTGTGTGTTTTGATTATATTCATTTACATTCTCTCTGTTTAGTAGTTTTCCTTAGTTTATTAATTTGATCAAATGTTTTAATAATAAAAATAAAGAAATAATCCTCACAATGAATCCTTGTCTTTTGACTGTTAGCTCATTTACTCATGGCTAAATGTTAGTTGTCTTTACACAATGCATACCATGACAAAACAAGTTCAAAAAAGGTCACTACACACCCACAAAAATGAACCCAGTTCCTCTTCAGCTAATAGATGTAGTGTTATGATCTGTCCTGCCCCTTTAAGAAACAAGCCATGCCCACTCCCTCCCCCACATCCACCGAGGAAAGCTGATCTTCAGCTTCCAGCCTGAATCTCTTCCTTTTCTGTCTCCCTCCTGAAGAGGCAGCTTCCGTCTCTCCCTTCTCTCTCTCTCTCTCTCTCTCTCTCTCTCTCTCTCTCTCTCTCTCTCTTTCTCTCTCCCTTGACTCTTCCCCCTTCTTCCCTTCCCCTCCATAACCCACTAAATAAATATCCAACCTCACTCTGCATGGCATGGCTATCCATCTGTCTCTCACCCACATAGCTCCCTGCCTAGGACCAGCCACCTTCAGAGACCTGCAGCATGATCTCATGTGACATCCCTGCCTGGGACTGGCTGCTCTTGGGACCCCCTGCCCGCTGCCTGCCCCCACTATGGGATCTGCAGCATGGTCTCATGGCCCCTGCCTGTGGCAGCCACTAAAAATCCTGCAGCATTTTACTTAATCCATTACATTGGTGCTGTAACTTGAATTCGAAACAAGGTTGCTGCGGGATATATTGAAATTCCAAACATAGAATTGCCCCATTGTCTAAGTCCATATCCTTAAACTATGCCCCAAATTACTCAAAACAAATACTACCACCTTGAAACCTCTTGGTTCTTCAAGATGAGAAGCCTCCATGTTGCAATGAGCAATGAAGGCAATTTGTTTAATTAAAGGTATTTTCTTGGTTGGTTCTTGCCAGAAGTGTTACTTTTGTCTTTACTATATTTAGGTACTTCCATACCTGTGCCTTTCACATTAATTTTATTAATTACTTAAATATTCACAAAATGGTTTTCCTTGTATAATTTTTATTAATTACTTAAGTATTCACAAAATGGTTTTCTTTCTTCCAAGGCACATCCTAGAGTCCCTTCTAGAACTGTATTTCTGAGATTTGGATCTGGTAGTATCATCTTATGCCCTAATTGCTTCAAAATACGTTCTTGCCTGTGATAGCTTCTGGTTTGTTCTCCAACTGTCTATCAGCATCATCTCCCCAACTCCAGTGTCACTGACCATCTTGATCAGTTTGCTTGTGACTCTCCTAAACCATTTGTTTGAACTTTGATTCATCTTTTAGCCTTTTCTGAGTCTGGAAATCTTTGTCTAGATAACCTTTATTTGTTCTTCAAGACTTCAGCCAGTCTCTTGCTCAAGTATTTCTTCTTCTGAGAAGCCACTTTGAAACTCTTTGGTAGTCAGTGTTTTGTGCTGTGGATTGCCTAAATCACCCTGCAGTATGTTTACTTATGTGTTTTCCCTGTGAGATTCCTGAAGTTCAGAATCTTATTTTACTCATCCTGATACCCTCCAGCAGTGGACTTTACCCAGTGTTCCTCAGCAGTGTTTAGAAATGCAAACTGTGAAGTGAATTGTTTTGCAATTTCTGGAGGTGAAAGCAAGGCAAAGAGGGCAGGTTGTTTAGGAATTGAAGGCTTTTTTGAAGAGGAGCCCATGGATAATCCATGTCTGTGCCCTGGTAGTGGGGCACAGGGTCCTCTTTCAGGTTTTTGTCTCCTTGGTAAAAGAATTAAAGGAAAGGCACTAAAGGAAACTCAAGGACAGTTTACTGGAATTGAAAAACAAACAGTAAGGCATACAAGCTGGTGATATTGGCAAGTTCCAGGTAGAAGGAGATAGAAAACTGACAAAGATAGTGCAAGATAAAAGATATACCTTGGTAGACCAGATGGACATACCCAGAAAGAGGAACCAGTGTCCAGGGACATTGTTTCTTTTATTCCTTATTTAAGGAGCACAGTTGGTCTCCTCTTCTGGCACTTGAGTCTTAGGTGAAAAGGCAACAGCCCATTCTCCTGGATGAATGAAGGTAAAAATGATTTACCATAGTATTATTTAGCCTGGATGTTAGCTAGAAGTTGCTTCCTATAATTCAAGGATAATAACTAACTAGTTTTGTTTATTGTTGCCAGCTTCCCTTTTAGACATGTTATCTTCGGGTCAGCTTAAGGCCTTAATGACTTTTAATGCAGCTGTTATACTTGGCTTTCAGTTTTTAATCACTCACTACACAGCGAGGGCTGCTCAACTTCTCATCAATGAAAGCCACAGCTTAAAAATGAGTTGCCAACACTTTGGAGATTTTCCTGTGTGTTACTTGAACCCTGTCTGCTTTGTAAACTTTTAAATTTCTTATCTGTAGGGTATTGCTAACCAGCAACCTGCCTTTTGTCTCAGAAAAGCTGACACTTTGAAATTCACATCTCTCAAGTGGTGCCAGGAAAGGAGACGGCTAAAGATGGCGCCTTGACTCACTTTTTTCCTGATTCATACTCACATACCATCTTGAAATATCACAAACCACCTATTACCAAAGATTCTTTTATGAAAAATACTGGTATTACATCCATTGAGAAACCAATAGATTCTCAATAGGTGCTTGTTTAAAAAATGAATAAAAATCTAAAAATTATTGAGTATAATAAAGAAAAAACATTAAAAATTGTAAATAAATAAATGGAAGAAATCAGCCCAAACGCTATACTTGTAGATCAAAGTGTAACTTAAAAGAGGGAGCATAGAAGGGAAATGATTATTTTGAAAGGACAAAAATGTATTGGCTCTGTTCTATACCCCAGAAGCTGTGAGCAATGAAACTTCGTTGTAAAAACTAAGTGGACGCACAGATGATGCCATCTGGGGTGAGGACTGAAAATATCAGTTACCTGATGGGAAAAGAACTTCTTTGAGGCGTCTCAGACCATGTGGCCTATGACATTTCCCTGACCTTTTGTCAAGGCACCTTTTATCCCAGTTCTGGCTTGAACTTCATGTTCAACCATTTAACCCAAGGCCCATTATTTGCAGTTTATTGTTGCTGCAAATTAAAATCTGCAGGGAGCAGCTATGCACTGTGGTTTTATTGGATAATGTAAGTACAGAGTGACACACATCTTCCCTTCAGGGAAATCTTAGGTAGGAAAAACTTTTCCAGTGCTCAACTTTTCCTGGAATAACTTTGTCATTAAAGATATAGGCATTGAATCAAAAGCTAATTGACTCAAACTGTGAATAAT